GGGGGGGTTTACATTTGTTGCAAAATTTATGCACCTATACTAGATTCACTTTGGCTTGATGTCAGCTGGTTATACTCTTCTAGAAAGCATTCTATTCTAAGAATATGCTTTTTCCTAGCAAGATGTGACTATTTGTAGAGGCACTCTTCTACATACTTGCAAACCACTTTTTTGTGTGTGTGTTTTACTGCGCTCGCAACTGAATAAGGTCATGTGAATGCGCGGGACACATTAAATATTTTCTGTTAAACCACTTTTTGGGGGGGGGTTTTCTCAGCAGAGTGTCGAACCCTCTTGACGAGGCGTCGTTATCGAGTTTGCAGGAGACGGAGGCCTTGCTGAAGGCCCAGCTGGCGGCAGACATCGTGGACGAGACGATCTCGCAGAACAGCCCAGCCACCACGGCCGCCCCGCCCCTCACCACGGGCGCTCGCATCCAGTACAAGCTGGACTCCAGCTCGGAGCAGATACAGTACAGCGTCACCTCAGGTAGGCTTTGTTTATTGATCCCAACAGAATTCTTGACTTTGTATAGGCCATTGTACTCGGGTTATAAAGGAAGAGGTAGACCACGCGAAAGATGGATTTAGGGAGTCGAGATCCCAACAGAATTCTAGGTTTTGTAAGGTTCATTGCACTCAGGCTACAAAAGAAAAGGTGGACCACGCAAAAAATGGATTGAGGGAGTCTAGAAACCCTGAGAAATTATATTGTCCCTATTAAAAGAGCTGCAGAGCTGGCCTACCACAGAAAACTGCATCTCCTCTCGACGCTTAACAGCAGCAGAGGATGAAAAAGTAAAAAGCAAAGTAATAGGCCTTTACCGTAAAATGTAGATAATTGTTGTTTTTAAATGTGAATTGCTGCTATCATCTTTTTATGTCGTTCAGTAAAACTCTTATTATACCATCCAGCCACCCTCACAAGTGCTGTAAAACTCTTGCTAAACCACCCACTCACCCTCAGATCTGTCATCCGCAACTACCTCGGAGTCGAGATTGGCAGCGTCTAAAGTCTTGCCCAAAGAACACTCCCCATCCTCAAGGTCACATTCAGACAGTTCAAGGTCACGTTCCAGGGATTCCTCCAGGTCTCGGTCACGCTCAAGGTCGAAAGGGAAGACATCGAAGAAAAATTCTCAGGGCGGCCCGGACAAGGACAAACGTCAGAGGAAAGGAGTGGAGGTGAGTGACTGGCTGCTGATTTTTTACTTGGTTCTATACGTCCATGTAAGATGATAACTGACTTAAGTGTATTGTGGCATTTGTGATCAAGTGGTTCAGTTTTTAGAACCAATGGGTGGTCTGCTCTGGTGTGGTTTGCTCCTTCTTTTGTGGCTGATTGGTGGGTGCTCTGGTGTGGTTCTCCTTCTTTCCTACTAGTCAATTATTGTCCTCAACTCTCCTTTTTATGTTTTTTACTCTCTTGCTACACCTCTTATCTTCGGCACTTATATATTTATTGTGTTGTATGTGCCGTAAACTCTTTCCTAAAACAAAACAAATAAACCCGTATATATGATCAATTTGTGTTATTCATGCCGTTAAACGCTTTCCTAAAAACAAAACAAATTAGACATATGACCTATTTGTGTTGCATGTGCCATAAAACTCTTTCTTAAAGCAAAACAAATAAAACATATATATATATATATACACATACATACATACGTACGTACGTACGTACGTACGTACATACAGACATACATACAGACATACAGACATATAACCCATTTGTGTTGCATGTGCCTTAAAACTCTTTACTAAAACAAAACGAATAAAACACATATATAACCCATATGTGTTGAAGGTGCCGTAAAACCCTATCTGTACGTCATGTTTTACTATCGTATCCATATGAGGTGGGGAACTCTGTGCCACCACTTTTTAATGAGGAAAATTACTCGTTAATCCGATCCGTACGCTTTGCATAGCAGTCTGTCGAACTGATTTTTTTCAGTAATACTGAAAGTTACAAAGAGATCTTCATACTAGAAGTATTCTAAAATGTGAAGAAAACAACCCCGGGTGTACAAAATGACCAAAGGGCATACGAATAGGGTTAAAACTAAAACCCAATATTTTTGTTGTTCCAGGAGAAGTTCCAGTGGGAGCCTCCCCCTGACCCAGAGGAGGGAGACGATGACGACGTTCCCAGCCAGGTCTGAGACTGTGACACTTCGCTACCTCAGAATTACAAAGTTCTATCTGACATTTTTGGCCGTTTTGAGTTTCTCTCTCACTCTCTCTCTTCTAATACTGTGGGCGTCATAAACGGTCAGCGATGCCGACAGCACGCAGGAACTCAACACTTGCTTGGGGGTCCTTGAAAAGTGCTGAGCGTGGGTCACTGAAATGTCCCAGCAGACGTTTCTGGCACTATAGTTGGCTGGACATTTCAGGAACGCATGGTCCATAGTCTCGTCCTCCTCCTTACAGACTCGACAAGATGGATCTGGGTTGTCTGCTGGCGCAATTTTGTGCAGATATGATCTCAGCTTGGGAGGTTTTCCACCAGTTCTCATTTGAGAGAGAAGCCGGCGGTCAAAAACTGAGTGTTCTATCTGCTCTATCCAAATCATAAGATCATTCAGAGTCATTATCTAAATATTGAAAGAATTGTCTTCGACAAAGCTAGACATGGTATGAAACTCTAAATCTTTGATGTCAAATTTCTCAAAACTAGATACCTAGCAGATAGAACTTTGTAATTCTGAGGTGGCGACTTGCTGTTTGTTGGTTCTGTCACCTGCTTAGTTTAGTTTAGTTTTGTAAGGCCTTGCAGGGATTAATCGTCTTATTCCTATGTTTTTTTAGTTTACTTTAATAAGGTCATAGTTGTAGCTCGTAGAAGAACTGAAATGACATGACGGATGATTGGCATCCTTCTTTCCTATTAAACATGTATCGTCCTGATCTCGCCTCCCTTTTTTTTCTGTTTGTTACTGCCTTGTAACACCTCTAATCTTGTTACTCTCTTGTAACACCTCTAATCTTTGGCACTAATATGACCTTATTGTGTTGCGAGTGCTGTAAAACTCTTACTAAAATTAAACTCTAATCTTTGGCACTTACATGGTCTTATTGCGTGGCAAGTGCTGTAAATAACATCAAAACTATTCTAAAAACACATTGAAATAAAGCAATTTGTCTCTAGTGTCTCTAGTAGGCCTTTGACCATAAGCCATTGTTATGACACATTTCGTCCCAACAATGTAAGATGTGCAGCTCACAGACTCGAAACTGAATTAAAAGTTTAAAACATAAAGTATTAAAGTATCCCTGTTTTTTTGTGCTCTCTCCAGCCCCTGCCCCCTGCGATCAAGGAGCCCAGCAACAGCGTCAGCATCAAAACCCCACCGCTGCCTCCCATGGACAAAGTGGTGGAGCAGGCCTCAAATCTCGCCAAGTAGGAACACTTTGGGGGTTTTTTTGTTGTTTTTTTTATTGTTGTCTTGTCCACTTCCTTATGAGTGTTGTAATTTTTGATTAATGATAATTAGAATAGATTACATTTATTTAGCACCCCCAGGGGCAGTGCTACTAACTGTAGTGTCTTTAGGCCATTCCCAAAGGGGGGACATTTCTCGTTCAAGCATAGTAGAATTGTAAATGGGCTGACTCATGTCACGCTCATAACTGTGCCTGATCTACAACAGGGGACTGCTGCTTTTTCTTTCCTGATCTTTACTATTGTCATTTTCCTCTACTTCTTTTGTATGTTTGTCACTCTCTTGTGACCTGCTATTTGCGGGGTGCCTTGATAGTCGAAGCAGACCTTGTGCTGTTGAAGCTAGAGAGGTGAGCAGTCTGATTCCCTGTAAAGACTTCTCTGTTGACACCCACCCCTTGGCGCTCATGACATTATGCAGTTGCGAGTGCCGTAAAACCCTCTACTATAAAAAAAGACACAAAAAAACTTCCTTGCATCTGTGGGGGGTTTTTATTCATGATATATAGAATAGATTACATTTATTTAGCGCTCTAATTGTCAAAGAGGTTATATTTGGTGCTAGAGTTCGTAGCAGTGATGTCCCCCACATAAATGAACGGGGGCCTGCATGTGTCCACTCTAGATTGCTGAACCTGTGCAGTTTTAACAGACGGTGAGTATTTTTCAAGACTCACGTGGAGGCATCTCGGCGGTAATAGGAGGAAATTTACAAATTTGCACCGAAATGTGAGGGCAGGTTGGTGTTTTGTATACTAGAGTATTTTGGTGAGTAGGCTGGGGGGCTCAGATTGTTCATGTAAATGGGGGCACGCTGGCCATACAGATGAGGGTAGGAAGGCACCCACGTCTGACATGTCTTTCGTCACTGCTGCGAGCTCCATTATTATATATACCCTCTTTGGGGATTGTTTTTTTTTTTACAGGTGGCTGTTAGAGCAGGTTCAACTGTTGTCTAAAGTGGCTTTTTCTTTCTACTTTGCAGACAAAAACGGGCCGAAGAGACGGCGGACTCCCGCAAGGTGAAGAAAAGGTCGCAGTCACGGTCGTCATCGTCCTCACCCTCTCCAGAGCGCCGCACGGTGGTGACAAGCAACAGCAAACCGGCCCGGTCCAGCGGTAGTCGGTCCCGGTCTGGGTCGGACTCGCCTTCGAGGCTGCGGGCGTCGTTGCTGCAACAGAGGAACCAGAGGCGAGCCAGTAGGGGGGAAGAAGAGGAGGATGGGGGTGTGACGGGGGACAAGACTGGGGGCGAGGGTAAAAACAGCGAGGACTTTCCAGCCAATGACAGTGACAGGAGGGTGGTGAGGGTCAGTGGTGGGAAGCCTGCTGCTGCCAATAAGCGGTCGCGGTCTTCCTCTTCCTCTCCGGAGCCGCCGCCAGTTATTCCGAGAATCCACCGGTCAAGATTCGACGTCCCTCCCCCCGGGGCCGCTGGACAGGATGCGGAGACAGCGGGGCGGTCGGGTCCGTTTTCCAAGAAGGATGCCAAGAGCTCTGGGAAGGTCACCTCCTCTGTGGAACCGGCAGACAGTATTGATTCATCATCAAACAGCCTCCCTGAGAGCGGTAGTGGCAGCAAAGTCGGGGACACTTTTAACAAGGTGGCTGGCATTGCCCCACCACCGCCTCTGCCCCCTCTCCCACCACCCATGCCCAATGCGAGTTCCGATGCCCTGCCTCCCCCACTGCCCACAAACACAGTTGTGAACTCATCGTCGATCCCACTTCCGCCCACCCCTGCAGGGGGTACCTCCACCACCACCACTAACACCTCTGCTGCCGCCATGACCAGCGAGTCTGCGACTGTGTTAGACCCCCTGCTGCTGTCCAATGTTCCGTTACCTTCCAGTCCGGGCTCGGCGGCCGCAGTGGTGCCCCCCAAGACTAAAGAGTCCGCAGCGCCGCCGTCGGAAAGTGATAAAAAGGTGCCGGTGTCGAACTCTGGCCATGTGGGAAAGGGAGATGATCCTCGGCCAGAGAGGGGCCGCAAAGCGAGTCGCAGTAGTAGTAAATCTAGGTCATCCTCTCGGTCCTCTCGCTCCTCATCCTCATCACCATCCTCCTCCAAAGAGAGGAAATCCAAAAAAAAATCTCCCCCCGCGACTGTTGCCGTTTCCGTTGACCCGTCCGGAGACGCCAAAAAGGACAAGCCGTCGAAAGATTCCACTGACCGCGAGGCGGAGAGTGACAAAAAGTCGTCGTCTGCCAGGGACCAGCGTAGTAGCAGGACGAAGGAAGATTCTCATTCCAAGACGACAGACAAGGGCACTGCGGGGGGGTCAGAAGCAGCAGCCAAGAGCAGTAGGGACAGCAGGAGGGCGTCGGAGAGTAAATCCACAAAGGATTCGAGCACGACCAAAAAGGAGAGCACCACCACCTCCTCCTCCTCCACACAGAGAAACCGCCGACGGTCGAGGTCTCGGTCGAAGGAGTCAAAGTCCAGGAGGCGGTCCAGTTCCTCTCCCGGCAAGAGGAAATCTAGGTCGCGGTCAGCGTCAAGGAGGGGTCGGAGGTCTCCGGTGCGGCATCGCTCAAGGTCACGCTCTCCAAGAAGAAGGTCTCCTCCCAGGTAGGTTTACTGCTGTGTCCTGTAGGGGCGGGCCCCTGGTAGAGTCAGGTTTGTGTGTTTGGGATAAAGGGGTCTTGTTAAGTATTCTGATATAATCAGAGCAGTCCATACTTTTCGTTGTCCATAGAAGAACACCAGTCAGACTGTATAAAATCCATTTTTATTTCATGAATTCTCTATCGTCAGTCTTGTGCAACTGGGCACCAAAAATGAAAAAAAGGTGTTTTGTCAGCTTTCTTAGTACGTTCTGTTTGTGTCTTCTATTCAAATTGAGCATCATACCGGCCAATCTGTGGGCCGAGGGTGGGGTCTAGGGGGGGAAAAAAGTCTCCCCTGCCCTTAAACCTCACACTGCGGGGGTCTGCCTTAGAAATGTCCGGGGGTTTTTTTTGGGGGGGGGGGGTTGTTTTGTTTTTTACTTTTAAAAGGATTTTCCAAAAGAAAGAGACAAACTGGAAATTTGTGCAGTCTGCTTATGTTATTATTATCAAACTTGTGGGGGTTTTTTCAAACTTTTTGGGGTTTTCTTTGTTTTTGTTTGTTTGTTTTTTAAAATAATCCTCTCTGTTACGTTGCAGGTCATCTTGGTCATCGCGGCGTTCTGGCAGGTATGGCGGCCGCTCCCCACCCAGGCGCAGGTGAGAGTTCACGGCAGAATGTCCTCACGTCTTCACGTCCTCGTGTTGGCCCCACTTTGTCTTTGTCTTGTCCCTGTTTGTTCCACGTCACAGAGAAATACGTGGGTGGTTGGCGGGTGCTCTAGCCACGGCTGGTCAACTCGCCCGGAAACCGCTCCTTTAGTTGCTCCGTGCCAGCGGTCAGTGCCACCCATGTGTTGATCATTAAATCCGCGGTCAGCCGTGCTCACTACCGTGACGCCAGTGGCGCGCCCCTGCCTGCCCGCGTAATGCAATTCCTCCAAATTATGGTGTAATTCCCACCCCGATATCTCCAGTTCTAAAGATGTGATATCACCATATGACCCACCATTTTAAAGCCCAGCTTTCCCCCTACAAGGCGATATAACTTTGGTCGATCTCAGTTCACAACCTTGAATTTATCTAACTACATTCCCCAAGACGTTTTTCTATCGAATCGGGTTCCTTTTTCAGTGTCATTTGAATTTAAACGCCAATTACTTCGTAGAGCCACCATCACTTTCATTTCTTTTTTCAAAATCTAGTAGGGATAGGTATACTGTACAAATTGTGCAAGTTTCAACTTTGTGTCGTTTTTCTGTGATTTTTAATTAATTTTTAAAACATTATATAGACGTTCTCTAAGATGTGTTTCTATCGAATCGGATTCGTTTTTCAGTGTTATTTGAATTTTAAACGTCAATAACCTTGTAAACTCACCATCAGTTTCAATTCTTTTTTCGAAATCTAGTAGGGATAACTATACTGCACAAATTGTGCAAGGTTCAAATTTGTGTCGTTTTTCTGTGATTTTTTATTAATTTTTTAAAAATTACATAGATCTATACGTTCCCCGAGACATATATCTGTCAAGTCGGATCTTTTTTCAGTGTTATTTGAATTTTAAACGTCAATAACTTCGTAAATTCACCATCACTTTCAATTCTTTTTATAAATCTAGTAGGGAGAGGTATGGTGTAAGTTTCAACTTTTGTGTCGTTTTTCTGTGACTTTTTTCTTCTTTAATATGATATAGAAGTTTTTGTTCAGTGTTCACAAGATTTTTTTGTATGTTTTTTGTTTCAAATCTAGATCTAGCATCTCTTAAAATGTAATAATAATGATATAGTGTGTTTACCAATATTGTGACAGTAGGCTTAAATGCAGTTATAAGTGCTGACACCCTGACTGGTGATACCCGTGATCCTAGAGTGATACGTTTTTATCAAGAGTCGTCACATGTGACAGCTGGACTTGGGGAACTGCGGACATATTGCGAAAAGCCGCGAATCTCCACTCAAGACTTAATATCTTTGCTTTAGGCAACGACACACAGATGCAGCCAAGTAATTTTGAAACTTTACTCAATTTCTGGCCCAATATCTTAGAATTGTCAAAATCGACAGCAGCTAACATGTTCAAATTTAATTAAATAAATCATGATCCTCTATCAATGTTTAAACATCTATCCACTTTTCATTCTTCGTCATCTTGTGTTTCTTCATCTTAATTAGTTGCATGATTGCTGTAAGAAATATGTCAGATGATTATTATTCAAAGTATACGGTTTTATGCACAGTTGGTGTAGTTTGGGCTTAGTCGCAGGTTAAACAAAGCTGAAAACTGCAGCAATAACATTTTCATCGCGAATCTGTCAGTCAGGTATAATTCCCCGCGCTGACCTCTTGACCCGTTGGTAATGGCTGGTTCGAGTTACGCTGAGCGTCGGGGTGCTGCGGGGTGCCGGTAGAACTAAAGTACTGCTCGTGAACAGCCGTGTAGCGTGGTTTGCTTCTTTTTTCCTATCAAACATCTATCGTCCTTATCTCCCCCTTCTTCTTTTTTATGTTTGTTACTCTCTTGTAACACCTCTAATCTTCTGGCGCTCATATGACCTTATGCATTTGCAAGGGCCGTAAAACCTCTACTAAAACTAAACTACAAACAGAGAAATACAGGGTCTAATAAGCATCCTCGAAACATATTAGTTATAATAATAATGATAATAATTTAATGTTTGGGTAGCGCCTATTTGGCCAATGTCATGGTTCATATATTTTTATTAATGTCTTCCTAACTTACTGTTAGGTTGTGTGGGATTTTTTAGTGACATATCTTTTTTTCTCATAATTATGCTATAAAGATAATTTTGACATCTTTTTCTTCTAGCTTTTGATATTTATAACCAATGTAAAAAATGATCTCAGACATTCTTGTCTTGAGAGTGGTTGGGAGTTATGAAAAGTTGAAGGTAGGTTTCCCACCCCCAATGTCTATCCGGTTACCCCACTCTCCTGTCGTTTCTGTCTCTCTTTTTTCCTTGCACTGAATGACCTCGGATGGTTAAAGGACACTACCGGCTACTGGTAGGTCCTACTTCTATTCTTTCCCTCTGTTGTTTCTTTCTATTTGTTTTACTTTTTTTCCCTGCACTGTGCTGACAGTGACAGAAAATTTGGTCTCTAAAATGTTCTCCTTTCACCTCCTTTCCTGCTCTCTAACCATGCTCTGTCATCTGCTTTCGTCTCCCCTTTTTCTGCTCTAAGCCCCTGACTCTTTCTGTAGCCTTTCAACTTCTACTTTTTTGCTCTTCTTACTGCTGTCTTTCAGCCACACCCCAACTAAGATTGAACACCTAGCCTTCTCGGATAAGTGTGAAAATTCTTGGAAGTCCTGTGTACAATTTACACATGTTAAAGATCCCGTGGTGGTCCAAATCCGGTAAAAGTAGGCTGCGGCCGCCACCTGGGCAAAGTTCAAAATTAATTCCCATCGAACTGAAAATGTTCAATTTGTCCCGCCTTCTCATATTACTGTATGCAGTTGTGAGGACTGTAGAACACTTGCCAAAACAAAAAAGGAATGAGTATGACCGTTATCGAGTGGATGTACTTCTCTCGCTCAAACAAATGCCTCATTTGTTCGTCTGTCAGGTCCAGAAGTCGTAGCCGTGACCGGCGCCGTCGTCGCGGGGGTCGGAGGTCAAGCAGCAGCAGCCGCAGCAGTAGGAGTAGCAGCCGGTCGAAGAAAAGGTCGTCCTCTTCCTCCAGCGACTGATGATGATGATGATGGCGACTGTTGAGGGCTGCGACCACGACGACTTGGGTCTTTTGTCGTCGTGTGTGAGTGCCGGCCTCTTGATCCAGGACGTTGTTGGAAATGTGGAGTCTGCCATCAGTACACTACACGTGCACAAAGTTTACACATCACCTCCTCTCTTCTCTCTTTTCCTTTCAGAATGGGGAAGGAGGAGGGTTTACGGGGCAGCTGGAGACAAGGTGTGCCGCAACCTCAGGAAATGAAAGATAATGATCATGCTCGGTCCTGACTTGACTTACTTTCGGCAGGGTTGTACCCGTTTGTGCTTACTCAAACGAACGAGCCAAATTTAGACTACACACTGGGGTCAGGTCTGCAGGGGGTTTGTTCGGCTGGGGCTCTGTTGTGTCATATTTTGTCACTATGTTGTCTCTCCACTTAGAGGTTAAGTGGGGAGGAGGGGGGGGGGGGGTTGTCATCAGAGGCTGGCTGCCTGCCTGCTGTCTTCTGTTGGGACGTGAAATGTAGCGTTTTCCTTTCCTGAGGTGTTGGTCATTGGTCTATTGGCAAAGTTCTTGTTCACCTCAAAACGGCTTGAGTGATAAGTCTTATTGTCAACAGTTATATGGCCAGTCGTATACAACAAGTAGATGTTTTGGAGTTGGGGGAATATTTCGTTTTTCTGAATGGGTTTAGGTGATTTGAATATATAGTTATGTATTATAGCTGCCTGTGTCTTGGTGACTTTGTACTGATCCCAAATGTTAAGATTGTTACCCCGTGTATCGTGGAGTTGGGAGTGTGCCAGTGGTACACATTGAGATGCCTACAAAGTTCCTTACTGGCTTGAACCTGAAAGTTCCATTGTGAAGTGTCTCAAATGTTGCCAGCTTTTTTGTTGTTGTTGTTGTGATTTTTATTTTATAAATATAATGTTTAGATGGCAGTCCATTTTGGGGTATTTTAGGCTCAGATGTGTATGTGTGTGTGTAAAAATGATGAGACTACTAATAGTTTTTGTGTGAGAAGTACAGGTACCGATATTTGGACTGATACCGTTGTCTTTGTTACTTATGTGGGGCTCAAGATATACGTGTGGAGCTGACAGATGTTTTCAGATGAGAGTGAAGTAGTAACAGATCTTTTTCCTCCTCTTTGTGTTTCCCTGCTAGATTTCAGGGGTAGTGAATAATAGGAATGCTAGTTCTTTAACCTGCAGTGTAACTGATTTTTATACATGTGGTCGTTTTTTCTGCTCCATAGGGTCCTCTGCCTATTGGCAGACATATTCCAATTCTGAAGGTACTCTTTATATTTTTATACTGACTAGAGTATTCTCAGTTCTCACAGGAATTTGAATTTTGATCAGGTGGTGGCAGAGGCCTACTCTTATTGATTTTAAGACCATCAAGAAATCTTTTACATGCGCAACTTGCACACAGGATCTCTGAGATTTTTCACCTTTATCGGAGAAGGCTAGATGTTCCATCTTACCTACCTTAAGATCAGGTTCATAGCTTAAATACAGCAGTAAGAAGGAGCCAGGAGTAGCAGTTGAAAGAGTCTTGAGTAAAAGAGAGAGGATGCCCGGGGGGGAGCTTATGAATGAATGAGAGGCGAACACTGTACCTCTAGACCATGAGAGCCCCAAGAAATTTGCCGTCCTGCTTAACTGCCGGGGTTTTTTTTTTATTATGAATTTTGTGTCTGTGGCGTTAGATGGCTGAACGTAGGATTCAGAGCTCTTTGGTTCAGTTTGCAACTGCTGTGGATGTAATGTTGTGTCACTGAGGAAATCACAGTACACATTTTAATTTTAATTTTTCCCTCATAGGTATATAGTAGGTATGCACTTACTGACACAAAGGCGTGGGGGGGGGGGATGCAAGACAAGCTGGTCGACAATCTAGAAACAACCTCTCCTGGGGGTAGTTTGTAGTTTGGTAATCATCAGTGTTGTGGGCTTTGATGTTATTGTTGAGACCAGGATGCACCCACTGTATACTCAACAGAATGGTGTGAAAAAACTATTTTAGCTCGTCATTTTTCATATCATGTCGCCCTGTTTCCGTGTGTGTTACTTCTCAGGAAGGGATCTGGTACCTTTCCTTGCCCTTGTCCTGAGTGTGTGGAAAAGCTGTGTGTGTTACTGGGAGGAGTTTTGTTGTCAATGTTAAATCAGAGTGCCAGCCACTCAGTGTGTTTGTGTGTGTGAATGAAAAGATGGTCACTTGAAGCTCTGAAGTGAATTGACTTTGGTGTAATGCCTCGTTAATTTGTTGTCTGATTATTTCATTCACACTGGTTCAAGTCTGTCGTTGATCATCGACTACAAGGACTGGGTTTTTTTTAATAAGCGCACAGTTACTTCCTGTTTAGAGACATTTTTACCCCATAAATTCCTTTTTTGTGTGTGTATGTATATGTGTGTTGATTTTACTAGGTCAAATTGTAAAATTTATTTTGTTTTAAAAATTTGACATAATGTGTGTGTGTGTGAGGTCATATAGCATTATCGCTTCACTATTGTTCTGGTGTTGTTTACTGTGTAGTGATTTTATATCGGGGCACCAGATGTGATGATAAGAGTTGCCTTGGTTCTTTCCATAGCATGTGCGTGTGTGTTTATGTCTGGGTTGATTATAGGTCATCTAATTCGTGGCTGGTTGTAAAGTGTATACTTTCTTGTGGGATATAACTTGTTAGGAGCGCAGAGATCAATATAAAGAGAAAGCTGGTAATAGGCTCATGTCATTCAGACCAGTCTTTGTGGGCCGTTGGCAAGTGCTCTGAGGTGGTCTGCTCCTTGTTTCCTGTCTAACATTTATCCTCATTATCTCTCTTCCTTCTTTTTTCTGCATGTTACTCTCCTGTAGGTGACGTCGGTGGCCTTGTGGTTAGGCTACCTGGCCCGTAATCATGAGATTGCGGGTTCGGGGTTTGGAGCCTCAGCCTAGTCCGACGTTGTGTCCTTAGGAAAACCACTTTACACGAATTTCCCATTTGACTCAGTCCTTTCGGAGATGGACGCTAAACTCAGAGGTCACTCCTCTAATATAACCTAATAGTGTTGATAAGGGCGTTTCTTATACCATTTCACCCTTTTCACTCTCTAGTAACTCTTCTTTAATCTTTGTTGCTTATACGACCTATTTGTGTTGCAAGTGCTGTAAAACTCTTACTCTTACAAAAACTTTTTATGTAAGACCAGTCCTGTCTCCTCTTGTCGTGTATTGAAGACATGGGGCGTCTTGATTTCCAAGTTTTTGTTGGGAACAATTTTGATTATGGTATGGCTCTACTTTCTGTCAGCTTTTGGGTTTGTTTTATTCTCAAATTTCATTTTGTTGGGCTTTTTGGAGATTGTGCTTTTATGTCGTTTTTAAATCACTTAAAAATTGAACGGCATTTTTATTAAATGTGTCCTAAATTTTATTCTTTTGTACCTGTTTTTTTATGTTGAACACAAAAAGTAAAAAGTATTACTGGTGCATCCGATTGCTCGTTTTTTCAGTGATATTTCTGGCTCTGGCCTCAATTAGAATCATCTCAGTCTACCAGCGTTGAGCCGTGGTTAGCATCACAGATACGCTGATATATTACAAGTCTGATGCTAGCAAGTCGCTCCTGTACTGAATGAAAGCTTAACTCATGGTAAACCTTTCCTTGCGAGAGGTTGGTGTACTGTGCTGTCAGAACTGATTTTCAGCTGAGCTCGTTAGCCGGGACAATAGTGAAATGGTCACATGGTCAGTGTCGGTGGACTCGCTGTCTAGATCTAACCCACTCGTGACAAGTCCGAAGCCATGGTCTTAGATAGTGACACTTTCCCCATTTTCCTCATTCCCTATGTTCCCCATCATACCCATAATTTTCAAAATCTTGCGAATCTAAGTAAAAAAAAGGGGCATTTGCTGTCCTTTTATGTTATTTACATTTTGCGAGAGCACATGTTTGTCCTCAAGACTAGAGCCATGTTTATCAATGGCTTGCAAGCCTAGCAGTAAATTAATACAGTGCAGCCTCTCTCTCTAGAGCTATAATGACATCGTCGGGACCATCGAGTGATGGTAAATCGGGATGGCAAAAGTAAAGCCCAACCTCTCGTTTTGAACAGTTGGTTTTACAACAAATCTTTGTTCCTTCTTGCATTTGCATGCGTGTCAACTCCAGAGGGAATTCATTTTTGTATCATTCAGCAGACACTCGGTGTGTGTGTTTTAGATTGACTACTTTTCTTCTGTTCCTTTGTCTTTGATAAATATGTGATGTTCAATTATTATTAGTTGGTTGTTGGTTTTTTTTAAGTTGATTAATTGTAAATTATATGGGTTTTTCTGTTTCACACAGTACGTGCTTACTTACAGACATTACAGTGGAAGTTGTTGCTCACTGTTTTATTGTTATATTTTTTCTACAACATTAGTTTGGTGAAAATCGTGGAGGGATGGAGATGAAAGGTGTGGTGTTGTGCAAAAGTGTCGTGAATATGTGTGAGGGTGTGTAGATGTGCAGAGAGATCAAGATGAGAGGTGGTGTGCTAAAGTGTCGTAAATATGTGTGAGTGTGTGTTGATGTATAGAGAGATCAAGATGAGAGACGTGCAAAAGTGTTACATAAATGAGTGAGTAAGCATTTATTGCTTGATTCATGCTTGAGTCTCTATGTTATGCACGTTCAGTTTATTTGTGCATGTGTGTGACTGTTGGGTGCATGTGAGTGTGACGCACACATGCTTATTTTCAAGTATGTGTGCAGGTTTACAACATTGAGTGAATGATAGGGTTTACTCCCAGCGGTTTTTGCCCAGGACCTGCATGCACTGCTGTCAGTGAGAAATTTTTTGCCAGTATGTTCTGATAGTTAATGAATGGGGAGCGAGAGTCAAGGTGTGTAATGCGGCGAGCGCCGTGAAACTTTTACTAAACTAAATTACTAAACAAGTCTTGTTGTAACTCCATTCGTTATAGGAATGGGTTTTTTTTTTTTCATTTGTATATTGTTTGGCATTTCCTCTGAAGATGTTTTGACTGCGTAGTGTAAGGCTCCGACATATAATGTGTCAGGACGCGGTGGAATCAGGCACTTGTCAATTTTTGGGCATATGGAGTTATTGGTACCAGTATCACCTTAAAGCCTGTCCATTTCCCTTTCTTTCGATGAAAAGAATATCCATGTATCTTGGATACAAATCAAGATATTTGCGATTGAAGGAGGTGGGGGTCGCCTAGTTTCGGAGGCCAGAGTTTAGTTATTAATTAATACCTTTGCTTGAGAGTCCGTGGGAATTGAAAATTTACATCTTTTATGCCTTTAGTCAGCGTTTTTCAGTAATGGGCGTGAAAGGTGTTGAGCCAATAAACAAAAATTGGATAAAAATTCCCAAACTTGCAAGAAAATGCCAGTTGCTTCACTTTCATTATTTTGACGAATGCCTTATTTCACCATGCTGCCAGACATATGCCAAGGAGTCTTATGCTGAGCGGTCTGTGTAATGTTGAAGTGAGGAGACATCGCTGCCATGCTGCCGTCATTTGCTATACGGATGCTGGTTGAATGGTGTTGAGGTGTTGGCAGGTTCTGCGTTGTCATCATCATCATCCTGACTGGAATGCATATCTCTCGAGGTACACGCGACACTCGCTGCTCACTTTGTAAGATGATGTTTTAATAGAAAACAGCATGAAGTGAATGGGTTTGAACACTGTAAACTTACATAGATATATCATTTTGTACACATGAGTGATTTGGATGGGAGGGGGGGGGGCGGCTCTCGTGTGGGCTGTTTTTTCTTTCTTATCAAACATTTGTCCTCCTTATCTCTCCTCCTTTCTTATCAAACATCTATCATCCTTATCTCTCCTTTTCTTCGTATGGCTCCCTCTAGCAACACATTTCATACTCTGTACTTATTTGACCTATTTGTGTTGTAAGTGCCATAAAATTTACTGTGCGAGAAAAACTAGAGTAGAAACACTTAATTAAATTCAGCCGATGTGGACTCTAGGTATATATATTCAGGCTGACACCAAATCTGAAATGTTTTTCTCAAATGGCAGTCGATCTGGTCTCCGATCAATAAAATGGAAGAGATAAATAAATGGCCAACCTCACCTCACGTCACAATCACAGAGGTTGGAGGGTGCCACTGGTACTGGTAGGTCCTACAGTGGAAACCTGATATAACAGGGATGGTGGGAGTAGAGAAAATGTCCTGTTATATCCGATCCCTGTTAAATCAGAAATGCAAGGAAAGTAAGCATTTGTGGACTTATCCAGCCGTACTTTTTCATGGGTAGTTTCCTTTGCCACAAGTACCCACGAACAGGGGTTTTGGCACCAACTGTCTCCTTGCCTCCTTAAACCACATCAGAAGAGCTT